CTACTTATTCCTGCGTCTTTTGGGATCTTACAAAGCTTCAAACGACGCGTCGACTATTAAATTAGTCGCCAATGATTTTGATAGTTGACTAATCGTGGCAGCCCTATTGTGCAGTCATAAAAGGGAAAATTAAATATGCAAAGAAGCGATATGTTTGTAATACACCGGTGGAATTAAAAAGGTGTTTTCCTGTTGCTTCAACTGTTAGTTGCTTCATAACTGCAAATGCAATCAACCTATAGCCGGGGTGTGGCGATGCTGTCTGGAGGCTTTTCACTTGGGCACAAATGAAGCAGCGTGAATGCTCTTCCTCAGGACCTGAGCAGCATCTCAGCCCAGCTTAGTGAAGTCTTGTCACTTGACATTTTTCAGTAAAAACTTTCTGTCTGTAGATTTTATTTACTCATTCTCAGCTGGTATATTCCTGAATGAGGGCTGAGGCGCACACGTAGGTCTAGTTATTGATTAGCCAGTTTGTCTGCTGGCTCTAACGCTACGTTCTCTCGTTCTGTCTCTCTGTCCCCGCAGAGCTGCAGAGGGAGGGGAGCATCGAGACCCTCAGCAACAGCTCAGGCTCCACCAGCGGCAGCATCCCACGCAACTTCGAAGGCTACCGCTCGCCGCTGCCCACCAACGAGAGCCAGCCGCTCAGCCTCTTCCCCACCAACTTCCCCTAGGACTCCTCGCCGCCGGCACCCGTCCCACCCTGCTCTGCCTGCCCGTCCACCATCGTACACTCACGCACCGATGCGGTGCATCGAGTCCAAATCAAAAGATTTGTGTTTCTATGGTCAGCATGTGTTTTGTTTTTTGTTTAGTTTCTCCTCGTCTCAGACGGCTGCTCATCAATCAGCTGCGGCCGCCGCTGGTCATTCATTTCTGGGGTTGAATTTTCAAGCTGCTGAAAATTGTGCCAATTTCCACTCGATTCAAATCTGATCATTTTAATTCCCAAATCATTCCAAAAACACAACCGATCTGCTGTTTACCCTCGAATTGCGCTCGTGTCTGGGTGGAAACACCTGGACTCGTTTATTGCAGACTTTTGGAAACTTGTTCATTTAAAGGGTAGCAGCTGTTTTGAGCAGCTGCTTAGAAGGAAGCTAAATAAAGAACAGATAAAATACAGTTTAATATTTTGATATGTCTGCTGTCAGGGAGAAACGTCCACTATTTTCAATATTAGAGCGTAACCCTGCTCGTTACCTTGTTGCTTCGTCGCCTGCTGCTCAGCTGCTGTCGTTCTCAGTGTGTGTTTGAAGGTTAGGTGTGCCCATTGTCTGAATGAAGCGTATGAGACGGGAGCGCTGACAGAGGGAAAAAAGGAAATGTTTATTCCAGGCAGCGACGTGCGGGAGCTCCTTCTGTACGAGCGCTGCTGCCTCCCGCTCAGTGTTTTAGATTAAATTTGCTCCTTTCATGCCTTTGATTTTCATGTAATCATATTTGACAAAGGGTGCAGTAACAAGATGACACTATTACTGCTTTGTCATTTAGATGTTTACAGTGTAATCGAGATGTTTCTGAAATCATTTGGATATATTCCCCACTCCGCCTTTCCAGATAGTAAATTTTAATTGAGCGCAGTAATGGAGGCTTGTGTAGTCGTCGCACCGGATTTTGTACATTAACAACTTTTGACCAAAATCTTTTTCCTAGTCAAGATCTTTCAAATCTCTATTTTCCTCTGTTTTTTTTCTTTGCCTGCAGAAATAAAGAGTTTGTCTGACAGTTTGTCCAAAGTGAAAATAACTGCACTGTTAACGTCTCCCAAGAAAATGCTCCAAATGTAATCTGCAGTGCTCCATGTGGACTCCCTGCATGTCCCATGTGCTTTCTCAGTCACTGAATGGACAGTAAAAAAAAAGAAAAGCATCATTATTATTCTTGTTGTTGGATTTGTGAAACATCGACTTCTTTCCCTGCATTCATGCAAGAAAAAAACAAAACAAAGTGAAGAAAATGAAACTGTCTTTTGTCCTCACTCTGATTGCTCCTAATGTTCCCATTTCAGCCACAGCGGTGACCATCAGCACACAGCACCACTGCTAATTAGTGCCATATTTTTTTAACAGGCAGTAAACGTTGGTTAAAGGACGTTTTATGGGCAACTCGTGCTCTTTGTTCTGAGAGAGAAGTGAGAGTTTGTTTCTCTGTTAATCAGCGAAACGTCTAATTCTAAAAACCAAACTGATGACAGTTAAAGTGAACGACATTAGATTAACAGTGTGTGCTTTATGTGCTACGATTGATCTCATTCCCAACACTGTGAGCTGCAGTGGAAGCTTCCCGGCCTTGAAGAGAAAAGACGCGTAACCATCAGCAGCTCGTGTCGGACGCTCGTGTATATTTCAAAAGGAAAACGGCTACAGCACGAGTTCGTGAGCAGACTGAATGGATAAATGTGAACCTTTGTGTGTTTGTTTAGGCTGATTCCATTACGAACAAAGCTGGGAGGATGTGCCACTTCACCAGAGGAACTTCAGCATTATGCAACATAAACTGAAAGGACAGCAGTTTGCAAATGAAAGTCATTTTATTTTATCATGTTTTTGCAAACACTTTACATGATTAAATCTCTTCAGAGGTGCACGTTTGAATACAGAGGAAGTCTCCGTCACCACAGACACACGTGAAATGTAACAAAAGTTCCAAAATCCCTAAAAATGTTTTAAATGTAAACAATTATTGATTTCTAACAAGTGGGCAGTGACGTGGGAGTACACGGAAAGAAATTCTGAATCACTGAACTTGAGCAGCACTGTTTACATGAAGTCAGAGGAACATGTGTGCTGTTACTGAGCTCCTAAATCTGCTCCCTGATTTCAGTCGGTGAAGATGACACAGTTGGCTCCCTGACACATAAACTGCTCAAACTTTGGCATTTCTTCATTCTGACCAGAGCTCCTGCTTGGAAATGTGTGATTAGAGAAGAAAACTTGTGAATATTCAGCATGACTGTGACAGTATTAACTAATCGGGTCAGCAGCCGGCAGCAGAACATAAGACGAGTCCTGCAGGTTTTTGGTGAGATCAGCTCCACTGAACAGTTTCCCAGAATCATCCCAGCATCGTTCTGGTCATCAGAGATTTTGTTCGTTTGTTATTCTTTAGGCCAAGTGCCAACAATTGATGCCGTTGCACAACTGTGCACCACTTTCCATTTAGGGTCATCAATAAACTTGCTTATTGCCAGCTGCAGTTCAAAATATAATTTTCAGAATAAAGAGCAAGAGGCCTGCTGGCCTTCTCTGAAGTGTCTCACGTTGGATTCTTTGTGATAAGTGTGCAATGTTCCTCGCAGCTCCGTTTCACTCGTGGAGGCCTGCTACACAGCGAGTGTGCGCAGTAACAAGCTCGCCGAGTTCTGTTGCTACTCAGCAGCTTCTCCTAAGTTTGTGTTGTGCACAAGGCAAATTAGATTTGAACCCATGACTGTGTCTCTGCTTGAGTTTTTACCACCACGAACTCCCAGCTGGCTTCAGCGTTTCACTTCAGCTACAAACCAACACAGTGTTGTTGTTTCGTGTGCGGCTGTGCAGTTGGAGAGTGTAAATCGGCTCCCTGCGGTGACTGTAAATTACAAATCAACTGTTCGGGGATTCAATATTGGCGTGGATTCTACGTCCTCAGTAAAAACGAACTCGACTCGTTTTTTAAACGATACACACTGAATGTTGCGTTGAGACGGGACTTAAAGAGACGTGGATTCAAAACACACGTGTATGCAGAGCTGCAGAGAGGCCTGTAAACACACATTCTGCAGAGAGTATTATTTTCATTTTGTTTTTCTAATTATGTTTTTGGAGAAATTCAGTAAGCGCTCCATTTAGCTGCACAGGGTTGAAAGAAAGTGCGCGGTGGACTGCAGAGGAAGACTCCGCTCACACTGAAACATCAGGCTGTGCTTTAGGGACGAACATTTGATGTTTTTATGTTTAAAGTTTCGTTGTTGTTTTTTTCTTTTTTTGTTCTTATTTTGACTAAATTCCGCGATGTTAAAAACACACTGGAGCTGTTTCCGACGTGTTGTGCAGAAAACAGGCTGCTGGTTTTAACTAGTGTGCCACAAGTGATTGATTCAGGCGCATCAAACATGTGTTAGAACCCTGATGCTGAACACAGCTGTGTGAAACCTCGTTTTCTGGCTTACATCTAATAATGTCTGTCAGCAGGATAAATATTAGAAAATTCGAATGAAGCAACGCTGAAATGAAACTGTGTGAAAAGTCGGTGTTCCTGCGGGCTCCTGTCGTGCCACCGTCACGCTGTGACAGCGTCACTGCTGGACCGCAGGAGGGACAGCGGTGCCATCCACTCAGAACTTTTCAGGTTTCATTCAGACCGAGTCACTCATATGCAGTGCGCGTGATCAGACGTGACGTGTCTCTGTTGCGTCATTCGATCTTTCAAGAGGTTAAAAAAAAAAAGATATTTCTGTCGTTCAGGCTTGATTTTAATTTACTGCAGCTTCGCTGTTTCTGTCGCTTTTTATGTGATTTTCAGGCTGTTTTAACGTTTACATTCTCCAGGTGTTTTCATAAGAATCGAAATAAGAATAAAGCGTATTTGTTTAAACGTCCCTGCCCTGGTGAGAGGTTTTCTGTGGGCTATTTAGTGGATGTCCTGATGTTTTGCGGTACCGGGTTCCTGAAAGCAGAGGCCTGCAGGTACAGCCTCTCCTCTTCCTCCGCTCCTCTGCTGCTGATCCTTAATATGATTCAATGTTCCCGGCGCTGCAGCTGCTAATTTAATCTCTCCATGCTGTCAACACATCTGCAAAACACACAAAAGATTATTTTTGCTGTTTAAAAAAATGCTCCTCGATTTAGATGAAATGGTAATAAATGCTGTCAGCTGGATGACGTTAAATCCCCGAATGTTTGCTGATTAGGATGAATTTAGACCTGCTGTTCCGAACCACAAGCATGCACATAAACAGAGTGGAATCTCTTTCTTGGATTTATTTGGTAAAACTGCGCGCAAAAAAGAGACTTTGTTGTAGTTTTTAAAAACAAAAATACAAATATAATAGTTGAGCGATTGTTTGCTCGATGTGCCAAACAAATGTTTGTTTGCTTGTTTGTTTGATTTAAAAAACGACAAATAATACATGGAACTTCATAAATGTTTAGATTTGAGTGGATGAATCTAATAATAATACAATAAGCTTAAAGAAAAAAAAACATAAATGTGGATTTTGCAGTCACGTTGTTTGTCGGAAAGATTCGTAAAACATCAATTACAGGTTTAAGAGGATCGCTGTAAATAAGTATAAATAACTTGCTTTGACAAAAATTAGTGCGCATGCACGAGTACAGTAAAAATAATTTGTGTCCGTTCGGGTTCAATCCAGAAGAATCCACCCAGCAGAGCTCATTATTGGGCCTCGGGGTAACACCGTGCACCTTTCAAGGATAACGTGCAGACATGCTGCACCGTGTGTGCGCCGTTACTCTTTTCAGGAGCAATATCAGGAGATTCCAGCGGAATAACAAACACAGTTTATGTGCAAATATTATTATTACTTTTTTTAATCTTAAACTTTAATATTTGACTATTTACTTCGGAAAATCTAAATTATTTCTCCCCCCGAATATCCGCGAGAAATTTCCTCTATAAAGTAGTAACCCGACAACAACAGAAGCCCGTTTTAATTCAGAGTTTATTTTTATCTATTTTTTCTACCTGAGTATAACAGCAACAGGTGATGTCATCATTTGGATTTCCTGTATTCGCGTCTTTTTTCATTTCTGGACAAAGTCCGACACGTACGTGAGCGCAGCGCGCCGTGCACCTGTGGCGCCACCCAAACGTCTCCTGTCCGTGACGCAGTGACCAGCAGCATCAAAAGTGAGATGGCTGAAATGAGCAGGGGGATTAAATGTACTGAAACGGAAAGCCTTCAGATTTCTGTGAGGCTGTCTGCTGCGTGACGCCTGTAGCTGTGACAGCTCTGTCACCCTCCTCTGGCTCCCTCGGGTCACCATAGCGCCCTCACCTGGCGTTCCACCTGTCAGTCAGACGCACCTTAACCCCTCTGTTCAACATCGTGGACGCAGATGAGATGAGAAGGGAGCAAGGAAAATAAAAGGCTTCAGCCCTGATGTGAGTGGCTGTAGTTCATGACTGAACATGTGCGACATTTTTATTTCATTATTATTATTTTTATTTTAATAGCATATCTGTGATGCATCCGGTAATATTCAGAGCCAAAAACAAACAAGCAAACATGTTTTTCGATGCATTGTTCCAAATAATATGTTTTGAGTTTGGGAGGGCTTAAGGAAACATTTTCCTTTTGCTACAAGTGAGAAGTGATATGTTTCATTTAGCAAAGGCAGGCGGAGAGGAGCAGGAGGAGGAGGAGATGAAGGAGAGGAGGAGGAGGAAAGCTGCTGGTAGTTACAGGAGGAGGAGAGAGAAGGAGGAGCGGGAGAAGAGAAAAGAAGGAGGAGGAGGAGAGGGCCGCTGGTCGCCGGGTTTCCATGTGACAAGGGGAAATATGAGGGACTTTGACAGGTCTTAAACGGTCTGGCGCCAAGGCCTCAGTCTAGCCGCTAAATATAGCCTGAGAGATGATGCAGGGAGATGGGAGGAGAAGATGGAGAGATGAAAGGAGAAAAGGAACAATGCGGAGGAAAGGAAGAAAATAACAATACTCGATTATAGACGAATATGGCGCAAAAACCGTCCCGTTACGTTGTAATTAGAGCGTCTTTGGCCCGGATCGCTGACACAGGGGCCAAATGACCGGGACGGAAGGCGCATTTTACGCACAGTTGTATTGTCTTGTATTGAACGGACGAATAAAGGACACAGAAAAACCTCAGTCAACTTCCTACTGCATGGAAAGCGTCCTGCAAGTAGTTAATTCGCGGTAAATACGAGGCTGCAGCTTGAAGTGTAACAAGCAGCTCCAAAGGTCTCTGATTTAAGCCTCCAAACGTCCTCATCTAGGCTCGTTTCTGACAACTATGTGATCTTATTTTTATTTTATTTTATTTTAATAACATGCATTTTCAGACAACAGAAATTGAAGACAAAACCAGAGAATTTGCTCATTTTTGGCGCATTTTTTCTTCGCGTCATATCCGCATCCCCAGCTGACAAACACATGCCCAAAGAACAAGTCTAAGGAGCATATTTACTGTCTGCTTCCATTAATCCACAACACACAGGACACGTTAATCTATCAGGCCGATGCCCCTTCCACGCAGAGCTCCCAGCAGCCTGGAGCTCTGCTGCCTTCACTTAATGACTTTTAAATCGCGCTTGATGGAGATTTCTGTACCGTTGAAGGCACAGAACAAATAAATGGTGACTAATTTGTAAAAGCATTGTTGATACAATTATCCCGTTGAGCATTCCGACAGAAAAACCGTTATCCACCTCCATATGTTGCAAATCTGTTTTCATTTGTGTCACAGTAAAGCCCAGCGAGCAGCTCCCAAAGTCTCCCACGTCTTCAAAAAATAAAAAAGCAGCTTTAGGGACGAGTCAGCTGTTAGATACACACCACAACAACACCCATCTTAATTATTTTTACTCTGAAACAGCTCTTCTTAACCTCGACACTCTGTGTGCTGCTGATGTGTGTGCCGTGCGGGAGCGCGTGACGCTTCGGGGATGTGTGTGGGATCCACTGGGCTCGTGGAAACGGCTTCATTCAGGTGTGTGAGCCCCGTTCACCGGAGCTACTCTCTCTCTGGCCTGCTGACTCTTTTACGCATGGCTGTATGATGGGAGCCGAGCAACAAGTGTGTAACACAGAGATGTGCAGACATCCCATGCTCTTAAATCACATGACATGCTGTATCTGACACACCAGCCGAACCGTGGTGTCGGTTTGGAGATATCAAATCGTTTTGTTTACACTTTTCTTTTCTGTTTGTCTTTTTTGTTTTGAGGCCGAACGGATTACTTGGTGGTTTAGATTTCGTCTTTTGATTATTTAATTTTATTTATTCTATTTTTCTTTGTTTGTTTTGATGTTTAGATTTATTATTGAAGACGTTTAGATGGCTACTAAGAATTTTGTGCGGGTGTCAGCGGAAGCCACAGAGGCGGCTGAGTTCCAGGGGTTCATCGGAAATGCGCAGTTGTCGCTGACACACTTATTCAGAGGGATTAACACTTTTTGTTTCAGTTTTTGTCCAAGTGACGCCTGAGGCCCACTCGCGATCGTCCCAGCCCGGAGAGGGCAGCTGTTTATCCAAAACGAGGAGGCAGGGGGTGGGGGACTCGGATCCGACACTGAGTCATGACCGAGGCAGGACAGTGGAGCAGAGCCGCAGATGAGGCTTCGCTTCACAGCACTTGAGGGTAAATCTAAAGAGACAGGAGATTGTTCTTACTGCGGCGCATCAGCCGACCGGCGCCGAGCGACTCTCTGACAAACCGAGTCCGAGTTCACTGGATTCTGCCGAAGGAGCTCCGCAGAGTGCTGGGACGCTGGTGCCCCACACCACCACCCCCCTCCTGGCTCCTGGAGTCCCGCACTGCTCTTGGTTTGACAAAATAAAACCTGTCGGAGATTACACGCCACCACGGCCTGCCCCAAACTCAGACTGAGCTCCAAATCATCTCATCGCTGTTTGATATCGGAGTTAAAAAATATATTTTAAAAAACGAAAAATAAAGTGATCCCTCCGACAGCCAGCAGCACCGCAACAGCAGGAATAAAGCAGCGACACAATAAT